CTTTGCACAAATGGAGTTTGCAGACCATTGCAGTGCAGTGACACCCCTTGTCCTCCATTGCTATAGGAGTATCTGTTTGCTTCTGCTTTTTGTTTTTTGAGGGTGGTGAAGGAGGAAGTTGCCCATTCGCCCCAGCTGTGTAAACACAACTGAAACGGCCATGTGAGCAGGGAGGGAGATTTAAATTTAATGCAGGCATCAATCACTGTCCATCAAATGGAGTGTGGTTTGGAAATCAATGAGGGAGAATGCTGGTTTGAAGCCAAGAGATAATGAAGGGCTCTGATGCTTTGGTGTACGAGGTAGAAAAGAGCTTTTCAGCTCACATGTAGGGGAACCAGCAGGGCAAGAAGAGTAGATGAGGTTTTTTCACTCCTGGTATGCCAATAAGAAGAAAATCACTTCTTACCAACATCTAGATGTGATTTGTGTTCATCTCATCCCAAGACTTGCTATATGCCTCACACATAGCAGAACAGAGTGAGGGGACAGGTAGTGGCTGCAAATGTATAAGTTAGATGTCTGACTGTGAATGGTTTAGGAATTGCATTCCAAAAGCTGTGTAAATGGAAAATACAGGCAGCTAAGGAAGCAGGTGGGTTGTTTTTCTCTCCCTAATATCAGAACAGCTACCACATATGAGTAACACAGTGGTTCCACCCTTTTCTGTTTCTCAGATTTTTGCTTATCTTTATGGATTTTATTTGATCTGTGAGTTCTCTTGGGGATTTCCTTCACCTTTGAGTGTACCAACGGTCTTTTCCTTCATCCTTCCTCTTCTAGATCCACTAATTTTTCCCTGCGTTATGACTCAAGATTTTATTTTTTCACATAGTTCTGCCATAAATTCTTTTCTCTGGGGAACACATGTATTTCTTTCCTCTAAGGTTTTCCATTGCACATGTGTTATGTGAGCAAAATAGAGGGAGGGAAAAAATACTTGTGCCTTCTGCTTCTTGGCTGTGCTGCAACTCCAAAAAGCCCAGTGCATTTTTCAGTTCAGCTCAGTGATTTACCATGTGACTCTGAGCACAGATCTAGGTTCAGCCAAATGAATCCTGAGCTCATGACAGTAACTCACAGGGTAACTGCCCTTAGCTCCCTCTAGAGCCAATGGAAGGAGTATACAGAGAGCACATTCTTCATTCACTTAGCTGCCTAAATTTAGTTGATTCACTTGTTTCCGTGTCTCAGTTTTGTTCCTTATTTGTTCTCAGAACAGACAAACATCTATTCTTCTGCAAATGAGGATGTATAGCCTTTACTTTCTCTGATCTCAAGTATAACTCAGTTATATTCTGCAGAATGCATAATATCTTTGAGATTTTGTTGTCACTGTAACCATACATAAAGAATAATTTTTTAATTCCTCTCTGTGTACTAGCCCATTTGTATATGCAGAATGTGTCTCACAACAAACAAATCTGAAAGAAAATAGAGGGAAAGAAATAGTAAATGCACCAATTGCTGCATTTTTTGGCTGTTTTTAATCAGTAATGTATCTGACGCTATGCCAGGAGTGCAGGTCAACAAGAGTTTAGAGTATTTGAGGACTTGAGGAGGACGTGGCTCAGAAGGCAGTGTTTGTAGCACAAGGCCCTGAAAAGGGGAAGGAGAAATAGTTTGCTCTGTTCAGTGACTTTGATTAAGTATATATTATTTTCCTTTCCTGTTGCAGTTTAACAAGTAGTACACAGGAATGTAGAAATGTAAGCTTCTGCTTACAGAGAGGAGGTATGACTTAATTTATTCCAGGTGCTGGCAGAGAGGATCTTCCAAGAGAGAACAGCTGGACATACGTGGAGTTTTTATGGCTCAGAAGAAAAAAATTGTCATCTTTTTGTCATGTGTTTTTGCAAAATTCAGGACACGTTTGAAGAAGACAATGAGTCACTCAGTTATGTTCATTGTGGAAAGGGAATAAAAGAGCAAATTGCTGCTATGCACTGTGCAACTGAAAACTTGGCTTTTAAGTAAGCAGATGCATCACTTTCCCTTACTCATGCAGCCACAAAAATGCATTTCTCAGATGTTTTCAAAATGCCTGTAAGAAATTGCAGAGAGATGCAGTATGTGAATATTGTGGTTTCTGATCTAACTTTAACCCTGAAATCCTCCCTATAAAATAGTTTAAGGTAATAGATAACAGTTGAACAAAAATGGTACAGCCATAAAATATCCACGTGTTCCTGTTCCTGCTTAACTTGTAGCTGCCGTAACTCCTAAGAGTTGCTGCTGTATCCCACTAATGCTTCTGCTGAACTGTTGCTTGAGACAGATTTTTAGCAAGTGAAAAGACTAGAAATCACTTGTGGGTTTCTAAAAGAAGAGACAGTGCTATTCTTAAAGCAAGATGCCCATAAACAGCACACTGCATGTAGAAAACATTCCTCTGACTTCATGCTCTTCTGCTAGTATTACCACTAAAAGATTTCTTTATTCCAGAATGATCTTAGAATAAAACACCTGCTTAGTCTCTTATGTTACTCATCCTTAATGTCTGACTGAGTGAGAAACCTCAACTACTAGAGTATCACAACAGTCCTTGTGTCACTGGTCATTTCCTCAGCTGGGCAGAGGTGCACAGAGCCATCAAAACCAGTATTTTACATCAACTGTAGTCAGGCCATGTCTCTAAGCCCTGTCAATGCAATACTTATTCTCAGGTCAAGCATTCAGATAAAGTCCTCTCACTACTGTCTAAGGAAATACAGTGCCTTAATTCTTAAGGGTGATTTTGTCAGTCATTACTCTTCTTTTCCACATTCCATGGTTTGTGGGTTTTAACTCCAGGCAGTCTGATTTATATACAGAATATATGCACAGAGGAAGAGAAAACACTGCACACTGAGTATTAAAGGGCTGATTGTGGCAGGATGACAAGAAAGAAGAAAAGGCTGAATAGAGAGATATTTTTGTGTCTCTTTACCAGGTACTCATTTTTGCAGGCATTTCAGAAGACTTAATACTATGTCATAAGGTCCCACACAGTTGGCTAGTGTTCACAGAATCACAGGCAAATGTTTAATTCATGAGTACAGCATTGACTATGTAGTGTATGTGTCGTGGTTTAACCCCAGCCAGCAGCCAAGAGCCACACAGCCTCTCACTCACTGCCCCACCAATGGGATGGGGGAGCGAATCAGAAGGGTAAAAGCTGGAAAAGCTCATGGGTTGAGATAAAGACAGTTTAATAGAGAAAGCAAAAGCTGCACACACAAGCATAGCTAAACAAGGAATTAATTCACTGCTTCCCACAGACAGGAGGTGTTTAGCCATCTCCAGGAGAGCAGGGCCCATCACGCGTAACGGTTCCTTGGGAAGACAAATGCCATCACTCCAGATGTCCCCCCTTCCTCCTTCTTCCTCCCACCTTATATACTGGGCATGATGCCCTATGGTATGGAATATCCCTTTGGTCAGTTTGGGTCACCTGTCCCAGCTGTGTCTCCTCCCAATCTCCCATGCATCCCCAACGTCCTCGCCAGTGTGGCAGTATGGAAAGCAGCAAAGGCCTTGGCTCTGTGTAAGCTCTGCTCAGCAACAACAAAAACATCTCTGCATTATCAAGCCTGTGTTCTGCACAAAATCCAAACATAGCCCCATACTAGCCTCTATGAAGAAAGTTAACTCTACTTCAGCTCAAACCAGCACAGTATGTCAGTGGATTAAGCAGGAGTTTTGTCCTTTGTTTCTCAGCTCTGAGGTTTGAGACAGGTCACCTTTCTCTCAGCTACTGTTTTTATATATTTTTTAATCTGATGTGCTCAGAGGTCTTTGAATACTGGAGACAGAAACACTGCATTGTGTTACACAGTTCAGTTAGAAATTTCTAGTTCATCTGTTCTGCCTTGCACAGACTTGCTGCAATTTGAGGCATTTTTGAAGTAAAAGAAGACAGTCTTAATAAGAAGTACATGTCTTGTAATCCAATGGCATTATTTTGCTCAAAGCAGGTTTTTCTATATCTTTTAACATCATCTCCAGTACTCTTACCCATATTTTAATTTATGTTTTTCTCCAGCTGAGTCATAGGTTATTTTAAATGATGTGCCTATGGCAGGGCAGGATGTTAATGCTGAAAGAGGAACTGAATTCATCTGCTGTTGCTGCCCAGTGGCCCAGAGGTTCTTCCTCTGTGGGGTATGCAACTGTACTGGGAGCACCAGTGCTTGTCCCTTCTGAAACCAGGCACAAGAGCTCTGAGACTGGCACATGGCTCCAAACACAGCAGCAACAAATCACTTCTGCTGGACTGCTAGGAAAGACTAGTGGGAGACTCTGAGACTATAGCCATTTTTCCCTCTCTATGGTTTCTCTGGTTACAGTTTTGATGTTGCTTAAGCTAGAAATTCATTGGTCCTAACTTCTCTGTCCTCTTCCTCACTGTGAAACACAGAGGAAGGAAACAAAATTATCAGCTGTAGGGGAGAAAAAAAGAGAAGGAAGGCATTTGTGGTAAAATTAAAAGTGAAGTTTTGAAAACCCATCTTTACTTTCTACCTCTTTTTTTTTTTTTTTTTTTTT